AATAAGAGCATCTAAAATGAGGAAAATATTTTCTGTATGCCTCCATTTTCTTATCTGTAAAAAGATGATAATCATGGGCGGTGCCTGTGGCTCAAGGAGTAGGGCGCCAGCCCCATATACCAGAGGTGGCGGGTTCAAGCCTGGCCCCAGCTAAAACTGCAAAAAAAAAAAAAGAAAAAAAAAGATAATCATAATGCCTACCTTTACAGTTGTAATGTTTAAGAGGTAATACTTATAAGTCACATCAGAACAGACCTTAGAAACTAGTAAATGTTCAGTAAATATTAGCTATAATATTATTAAATTTAATTTATTATATTAATTATATTGATAGTGTTATATATTTCTGATTTCATTAATCGTATTCACCAAGCGTCCTTCTGTTTGGCAGTAAAGAGTCCATTTAAAATTCATCCCTTCTGGGCTGGGACCGGTTGCTCATGCCTGTAATCCTAGCACTCTTGAGAGACCAAGGCAGGTGAATTGCTTGAGCTCAGGAGTTCGAGGCTAGCCTGAGCAAGAGTGAGACCCCATATCTACTAAAAATAGATAAACTAGTCAGGACATTGTGGTGGCACCTGTAGTCTCAGCTTTTGGGGAGTCTGAGCCAAGAAGATCACTTAAGCCCAGGAGTTTGAAGTTGCTGTGAGCTATGACACCATGGAACTCTACCCGAGCAGTGAAGTGAGATTGCCTCAAGGAAAAAAAAATATCATCTTTTCCAAGACAGCACTTTTCCAAATTATATTTCATTAATTATATTTTACCTTTCTTTGAAGGATTTTTCCCAAGCTTGATATCCAAACATTTGATAAAAAGAAAAACAAATTATATATATATATCATGCTTTTGACTTTGCCACTTGAGCTGCTGGCAATCTCAGTGATAAATTTAATGTGAAAATAAAGTGTCACCTCCATTTCTGGGCATCCTTCCCATTCATACTGTTAACAGTGTCCAACAAAGTCATGAAAATTTGTCTTTAGACTGAGTTAAAATGAAAGTGGTTATAAAAACTGATTAGAGTGCCTTGAATTCTTTCCACTTCTACCCATTAATGTGAGAATAAAATATTTTATAATTCTTATTTTCAAAATAGTTTCCTCCCTTAGCCATTTTACTACTTAATTGATGATAGTGGTAGGTGGCTTCTTTATTTGGAAAGATAAATCATAAATACACTGAACCTTCTGCATGAGTATATTTTCAGTTTCCAAAATAGAGGGACTCTAAAAATTGAAAAAGAATCTTAAAATAATTTAATATCTTAAATGGTATTTTGATGGGGATTGCTTTGAATCTGTAAATCTCTTTGGGCAGCATGGACATTTAGCAATATTGATTCTACTGATCTATGAGCATATGTTTTCTGATTGTTTGTGCCATCCATGATTACTTTCCTCAGGATTTCATAGTTCTCCTTCTAGAGCTCCCTCACCTCTTTGTTAAGTATACTCTTAGGTATTTTATTTTCTTTGTGGCTATTGTGAATGGTATTGAGTGTTTGACTCTCAGCTTGATTGTTATTAAAAAACGCTACTGATTTGCATGCGTTGATTTTTGTAACCTGAAATTTTAATTAATTTATTTCTCAATTTCAATAATCTCTTGGTAGAGTCTTTGGGATTTTCTAAATATAAAATGTTATCATCAGTGAAAAGTAATAGTTTGACATCCTTTTTCCCAATTTGGATACCCTTTATTTCCGATTGCTCTGGCTAGGACTTCCAGCACTGTGTGCAATAGAAGTGGTTGTAGTGGGCACCCTTGTCTTTTATCAGTTCTTAGGAGGAATGCTTTCAACTTTTCTCCATTCAGTATGATGCTGGCTGTGGGTTTGTCATATGTGGCATTTAAAAAGTTTGAGATATTTTCCCTCTATGCCTAGTTTTTTGAAGGTTTTTGTAATGAAAGGGTGCTGGATTTTGTCAGATGCTTCCTCTACATTTATTGAGATGATCATATTGTCTTTGTTTTTACTTCTGTTTATGTGGTGAATCACATTTATTGATTTACATATGCGAAACTCCCGTTAGAATGTCCTTTATTAACCCTTTGATTACCAAGAAGTAAATGCATTTTATTATTGTATTTTTATTTTAATCTTAAATTTATATAGTTATGGAATATGTTTACAAAGTTTTTTAGCAAAAATATTTTTGCATAATCAATGTTTGCATGTGGTTCCTTGTTAAAACCACTGGGAAACCAGGTATTGCTCACTTTTTGGTGATAGTTAGAAAAACAATTCTTGTTCTTGCTCACACAGAGTCTGACATGACTAATTTGTATAGTGTGGATTTTTAGCTGTACTGCACAAGGCTCACCTCTGGATATTCCCTGAGCAGTCTTATGCACAGCTTTGTCTAATTGTTTCTCTTGAGGAACATACAGGTTGAACTTGTTGATGCAAGTTACTGATATTCTATTCTTGGGGGAACCTAGTTGTGCCCGTAGAGGGCCTGTAATTAACAATTTTGAACTTCATTGAAAATCTTTGAGGTTCATTGCCTCCTCTGGATTTAACCTTGAAAATAACTCTGGCATAATCACTGTGATGTCCAGTAATTTCTGAGGAAAATAAGCACTCTGGCTTAGCACCTGTAGCACAGTGGTTATGGAGCCACCATATACACCAAGACTGATGGTTTCAAAACTGGCCTGGGCCAATTAAATAACAATGACGACTGCAACAAAAAAATAGCCAGGCGTTGTAGCGGACACCTGTAGTCCCAGCTACTTGGGAGGCTGAGGCAAAAGAATTGCTTAAGTCCAAGAGTTTGAGGTTGCTGTGAGCTGTGATGGTACATCACTCTCTACTGAAGGCAACATAGTGATACTCTGTCTCAAAAAAAAAAAAAAGAAGCACTCAAAAACCTCTAGCAGTAATATTATTCCTTCAGGAATCTTTGTCCCAACTTCCTATGAAAATTCAGAGGCAGTGTTGTATACCCAGTGGCGTAACCTGTTTCCACATTTCCTGCAAATTCATTATTTCACATGTTGACACTTGCACATCCTAGTGTACTATAACTCCTTCTAAATCTTCTTTTTCACCTGTTTCATTTTCAAATTCACCTTCATTATCACTTTTGAACACATGACTCATCATCACTCTTCATCCAACAAACTGTACACATTTTCACTGTTCAATTGTGCCCGATTTCCTCTATCCCATTTTCTGAGGCTATGCCACAGTACAGCTGCTTACACCCCATTGGCTACAATCTGAAACCACACACAATTTTGTTATTTTTTAAATGAAATTCTCAGCAGAATAATGATTTGCCATAACACAAAAGTAATTTGAAACTGAAATTATACATACCTTCAAAACAAGTGAAGCGTCTTATTTCATATGGTTGTAGGAAAACAGAAAATGTCTACTGCAACATAGCAGTACATGTAAACACAATGCTTCACGCCATACCAAACTATGAAAAAGTTTTTCCTTTTGGCATATTGAAGAGTAATCATTTCCTTCTACTGTTTCTGTTAAGAAATCCTGTGGGTTACCGCATTTAAGATATTTTCTTTTGTTGGAGTCCTTTAAGATTTTCTCTTTTGTTGCTTTGTTTTCAGAAGATTTGCTATGATGTACCTACAGTAGTCTTCTCTGTAATTATTTTTGTTAGCATTCATAGTAATTATTTCATGTGTGGCTTGATTTTTTATTGGTAATTTTAGAAGTTTTCAGATAATATCCCTTCCAATTATTTGATTGTCCCATTCTGTCTGTCTCCTTTTATGCCAGTTAAAGTTTGTGTCCTACAACTATGGCATCTGGGTTTCCAATGTGTCTTATTTTTATTCTTTATTGTTTATTTTTATTTGCATTCATCTTAGCCTATGATGATGTTGATTTTCTTGATTTTTTTTTTTGCCAGTAACTGTAAGGATATAAGAGAGCTATTTTATCCATTACTTATGAGGAAGCTGAGGAGCAGAAAGCTTAAGTAACCTGTATAAGGTCACACAGTACATGGCAAAGCCAGGTTTAGAACAATGATAGTCTACCCTTTATACAATACAATGGACTCTCTCCTGTATTATGCTATATTAACTTCCTATGTACCAAACTAGAGAATGCTATTCAAAATGGCCCATTGGATACTTTTAATTTGTCAGTCTAAACCAGTGGTACATGTGTGACTTTCATTGACAACAACCAATTAGATGATATAGTATAAGATATTTGATAAATTATAAGACAACAGGAATAGGTTGGAATTTTTAGTCCATTCAAAAACTATCAGGCATCACAATGGTGCAGTGGTACTATGGAGAAAATATTGCAGTGTCTTATTTAAACAATAGAAAAAATTATAACATCCGTGGATTTTATCTTTAAAGGAAAAATTCTCACTTATTAAACCAATGTACAAGTTATGCTTTTCTCACCATTAAATTGCAAGTATTGGGAAAATGCACGTAAAGTTATTGTTGTATGTACATGTGTTATGAATGTTTGAAATTTATCTTGTAAATTATAATAGACATTATTTCCAATTCACAGAATACAAAATTGGACTCTGAATATAAATAACTTGCCATAATCAAATAGCTAGGAGGTAATGGGTTCAGAGTTCAATCCTTATTCTCTTTCTCCAAATTCAGTCTATTCACAATCCAATACTTTGACTTGACAATTGCAACATTAGGCAATAATGTGTGTTTAAACAAGATATAAGAAATATTAGGGAATATTTAAAAAATCTAATTTTGACTAACAAATGGCAGCTGAACTGTATTTTGGAATTTCTTAGTTAATTTTAATATAATTTTATTTAATTATTGGATTGAACATATTTTCCCATGACATTTTGAGACTTTAAAAAAATTTTTTCTTTATTTTATTTTTTATGTATTTTCATTTCAGATTAGTATGAGGGTCCATATGATTAGGTTCCATTGTTTGCATTTCTAAGGTAAAATTCAAGTTGTAGTTGAGCCCATCACTGGGGGTGTGCCATATTTAAATTAAAGTCTTCTTCTCATAGGGATGTATATAAAATACAATTCTACTCATCAGCCTCATCAACCAAAAAAATCTCCCAACATAGTGACTTTTCCAAATACAATAAGACCATTTACGATGTGCTGATCCATTTGTGTGGAAAAATCCCACCTGGAATTAACTCAAGTCAGTCATTACCTATGGATAACAAAGAACGTGTACTTCAGCTTCATTGGCAACATTCCTCACTTTTGGACTTTCTAAGGTAAGAGCCTGGATGTGCTAACTAAAGCATGTGATTATGGCTTGGGTAGGTAGAGAAATAGATGGATAGATAGGCACACTTTGATATTATTTTTAATGTTACCATGTATCTATATCTATCTATCTCACACTGTAGGAAAATGTACACTGGTTAATAGAAAAGAAGCATTTTTATGAATTATTGGATTTACAGTATAAGGAAAAGTATTCTCATGGTCTTTCCTGGGTGTGCACATGCCTCTGGTGACTCTCTATGTGTTTGTATTTCATCTTATTAGAACAACAGCCAAATTGAGTTTTCACGTTCTTATAAGGAACCAACCAAACTGCATTAGGGTCCCCCATAATGACTTTATTTTACATTAATGACCTTTTTAAATACTCTAACTCCAAATACAGTCACATTCTGAGGTACTGTGATTTAGGATTTCAACATGCAAGTGTTGTGGACAGGCACATTTCAGACCATAACAATAGCAGATACAGTGTAAATGAAAAAAAAATCATGTAATTGAATGTTACATTTTACCATAAATTTTGTATGGGTGGATATATTGGCAGTATTATACTTAATGTTTCTTGTCCTTTGTGCCAATATGGATTGAAGTGTACCTCATTCCAGATTCAAATCTTGAAGTATGAATACCCAATGTGACTATATTTGGAGATAAGACTTTTAAGACGGTTATTAAGTTTAAATGAGTCTAATCTAATAGCACTTATAAGTAGAGGAAGAGACTCTATCTCCCTCTCTCACTCTCACTAAGGGCACATAGAAAATGTTATGTGAGGTCACAGTGAGCAAATGGCCATCTACAAACCAGGAGGAGAGTCTTCAGCTGAAACACGATATTTTGGTTTCTTGATCTTTGACTTCTTGCCTCCAGAATTATGAGAAAATAAATTTCTGACGTTTAAGTAACTTAGCCTGTGCAATTTTGTTATGGCACCCAAGCAGACTTACACAGCACCAAATAACCTTTGATACAATTTCACTGGTTTGTAATCAATAATCATTTTTATCATTTGATTAATTTTCATTGAAAAATAAAGATTTTTATTTATAATTTGCATAATAAAGACTAAAACAGAAGCAGAATATAAACATCTTGTGCCCTACATTTTAACTATAAAGCAAGATGTGACAAGAATGTAAAATTGCTATAACTCTTATTTTTCAATTCTATTGAGTTTTTAAATGAATGGTTTATTCACCAAAGTAAATTCATTTAGGAAAATCAACTCACATCCTCTTATAATTAAATTTAATTCTACTTTTGATTTACATTTTTTAAAATCTTTAAAAACTGTATACCCTTCTTATGTGTGAATAGCCATTATGATATCTTATATAATGGGATTGCATCTAAGAATGAAAATATTTCGAAGTAAGGATCTAAGAAGTGATCTTGGAAGAGTTCACTGAGAAGGGCATGATTTTTGAATAAAGCAGATGCAGGCTATTCCATCTCTTTTATTATCAGACATAAACTCTGTTAAATAATTTAAAGTTGTTTATTCTGAGCTGAAAATGAGTGACCATAGTCCAGGTCACCATAAAACCAAGTAACTTTAAGTAAGTAGTCCTACGGCAGCCGAGTTACAGTCTGATTTTATACACTTGTAGGGAGACAGGGATTATAGGTAAAATCATAAATCAATACATAGAAGTTATACCTTGTTTCTGCCTGAAAAGGTGGGACATCTTGAAGTGGGGGCTTACAAGTCACAGGTGGGTTAAGAGATTCTTTGATTTGCAATTGGTTAAAGAAATAATGTTTTCCCAGCCAGGGAGGTGGCTCACACCTAGCCTATGATCCTGGCACTCTGGGAGGCCAAGGTGAGTGAATGGTTTAAGCTCAGGAGTTGGAGACCAGCCTGAGCGAGGGTGAGACATCCCACACACACACTACTAAAAAATATAATAGGAAACAAAAAAAAAAAAACAACTAGTAGATCATTGGTGGGTACTCGTAGTCCCAGCTACTTGGGAGGCTGAGGCAAGAGGATGACTTGAACCATTTTGAGGTTCCTGTGAATTATGAGGCCACAGCACTCTACCCAAGGCAACCAAGTAAGACTCTATCAAAAAAAAAAAAAAAAAGGAAAGAAAGCTTTGCTTAAAGACTTGAGTCAGTAGAAAGGAATTCTTAAGAGGGTCTGCTATCTGCTATGTGATGCTATGCCAGAGTTAAGTTGGAAAGTAAGCCACATTATACTTAATTAAAAAAAAACCCCACTTAATGAGATTGTATGGTTTTTAAGTCCAGACTTAATCTTTCCTTGCATGGCCTTATGTCTTGTTTGCAATTTAGTATCTTATTGCCATAAAGAATCTTTTTTATCAGTCTTATCTCTATTTTAATATTAGTGCTGGTATGTTTAAACTCCAGAAGTGAAGGGGTATAAAGAAACTTGTCTAACCTACCTTTCCATCATGGCTCGGAATTTTGTCTTAAGGTTTTTTTGAGATCCCCTTGACCAAGAGGAGGTCTATTCATTCCATGAGAGGCTTAGGATTTTATTTTTGATTTACAGTTCAATCTGTGTAAAATTGAAGAGAATAATTCCCAAATTTACTTGGTAAATAAAATAATTAGAAATAGTCAACTGTATATTACATGACATGTAGTAGATTATTATTGCTGTTGTTAATTTAAATGCAGTAAATTATGCTGTGAGATTTCATATCCTAAGATATATCCTTTGGGTCTGCACCTGTAGCTCAAGAGGCTAAGGTGTCAGCCACATACACCAGAACTGGTGGGTTCGATTCCAGCCCGGGCCTGCCAAACATCAATGGCAACTACATTAAAAAATAGCCTGTAGTCCCAGGTACTTGGGAGGCTGAGGCAAGAGAATTGCTTAAGTCCAGAAGTTGGAGGTTACTGTGAGCTGTGATGCTACAGCACTCTACCCAGGGCAACAGCTTAAGGCTCTGTCTCAAAAAAAAAAAAAAGAAAGAAAGAAAAGAAAAAGATATATTCTTAAATTATTATAATTTATAGTAACCACTAGTGGCATAGTCAGAATTGACTCTTGAGATATAACCGTCACTAAAATAGGATTCTGATTTTAAAAATCCATTCTTTTATTAGAAATGAAAGTCTTGTTTGCATAAAAGTGTCAGAAACCAAGTACTTATAATTATGCCCTCAAATTTATTATCTTGAAAGGAAATTATATTTTTCTAAGTTTAAAATAGAAAGCAAATGACTTTTCTTTTACTTTTATCACTTATTATGTTTGATCCTTAATGATTGATTCAATAAGGTAAACTCTATAATTCCAAAAGGCAGAAATTCTAATGTGTTTATTTCAGGAAGTTATGCTCTTAAAATCTAAGGGGACATTAACTGTGAACAAAAGCAGGAGGTTTGGGTACTTAAATGAATCCTTATCATGTATGTATTATATAAATCAAACAATTTTGTAATAGCATAATTAAACTCCATGGTACTTGTGATAGCTGTGTTGTTCTTGTAGGAGTCTTGTTGGCACAGCTCCCAGTAGTGTTGACATTAACATGAGTCGTTTCTATTTTGACATTTTATGGTGTGAGGATGCTGGTATGGAAGAATGATTTTGATGTTAAAGCCAAGCCATTCAGATTTATTTGCTCTTTATCAGCAAATACATGCCTATCAGGATATATTGACTGATAAAATTACTTAACATTCAGAAAGTGGCAATATGGTTAATAAAACTGGATCATTACTCCAAGATATGTGCATATGTTTCATCATGGAAATGAATGTATTCAAATTCAAAATAATCACAAATGTTATTAGCTTTCCCATTTAAACTTGATGACACAGCAGTGAAGACTTTTGTACAAGTGAAATATCTATGTTGTGCAATAAATGAGAAACTCATTTTTAGGGATTAAGTTAGAATATTTAAAAAACTAATTTCAGGAGATTAAGTTTAGAATTTAATAGCTCATTATGTGTAATTATCTTCTGATCTACTGAGTGTTAACTTGGAAGAAATATTTAAATGGAAATCCTGGTATGTAAAACTATAACCAAATCAATTGTGAAAAGCAACTCTTTGAAACTACTGACCAGGCATAAAATCTATTGACGAGATATAAACATAAATGCTGTTTTATGGACTGATGAATTTAGGCCTTGAGATCTATTTAAAATGAAAAAAAAGAAAGAAACAATTCTTAATAATAGCATCATCCTTTAAAATGCAAAAAAAATGCATTCTTCATCTTAAGCTTTTACCTAAGGTATGCTTTCTGCTGGATTCTATGGAATATACAAATAAATAACATCTCCTCAGGAAGCTTACACTTTAATGGTTTCCCGATTGTTTTCCTTCGACTCTTAGTAGCATTTGATAGAAATGATGCTTTCCTTCTGAAATCCTGTATTTGCTTTGGAAACAAAGAAGTGTTCCAGTTTCTTCATATGTCTCTGAATTGTCTGTCTTTGATTCACTCCACAAGATTTCACCTTACGGGGGAGAATACCTCATGTGTTCCTATACAGGCTTTAGGTTGACTGTTCTTGCTTAGGAGTGGTATTACACTAAAATTAGATTTTTATTTAAACCTATAGCTATTTGAATATAATGAAGGTTCATAGGAGTAATACATGTGAGTAAAGTAATTGTCTGAAAACCAAAGAGAAAGGAAAATGTTTTATTTCCAAACAAAAGAGCTTTATGTAGGCAGTATGATTTTTTTTTCCAGTAGCTTACCCTGGCTCAGGGCCATATCATACTTAACAGCTCTAGCACTGTGATCACTGTTCCTACCTCAAGAGTTCCCTTCCTTTCTTCTTTCTTCTCATTCATTCATATTATCTTCAAGGTCTGAGTTTCAAAAATCATCTTAAACCTCCTTTCTTTGTTTTCCCCTACGTTTCTCAGTAAGCGTAGGACTGCCAACTTTGAGGTTATTTCCAGAGTTGAGCACTAGATATAGCATTCTTTTCTGTTAAATGCTTATTGGTGAGTGGTGTTCTATCCTCACTAATTTAGATCCCCAAACCCAAATCTCCATCAAGAAACATTCTTGCCAAAATGTAGTAGATTTTTATACAGTGGCTTTGGTAGCGACGGAGATGGAGTAAGAAGAGTTAAGATAAAATTATTTCAAGAAATTTGACAGTGATAAAAATGTGTATATGATTATACATGATCATATAGATGTATACAGGTTATAGTATATATGTGTGTGTGTGTGTGTGTGTGTGTGTAGATAGATAGATAGTTGTTATAGTATAACCTGAAGTCTGGTAATGTGATGCTTCCAGGTTTATTTTTATTTCCTAGAATTACATTGGTAATTTGGGTTTTTTTATGGTTCCATATGAAATGAAGTACTATTTTTTCAAGTTCTTCAAAGTATTGCATTGGTGCTTTGATGGGGATTGCATTAAATCTGTAGATCGCTGAGGGTAGTATGGACATTTTAACAACAATAATCCATCCCATCCTTCACAGTAGCTTCAACAAAATTTTAAATTTCAAAATTAAAATTCAACAGATACAAAAATATGACATTGCCAAAATAATTGAAATAAAGTTCAATCCTAATGACAGATAAATTGTATTATATTAAAATAATTTGGGTTTTTCTTTTTTAACTTTAGTGCCCAAGGAGGATGTGTTTCCCACATACTCCCTGAATTTCTACTCGAACCTGAAGACTTTAAAAAATGGAGTGAAATTACAGTAAGGAAATATAATTTCTCAGAATAATCTACACATTTATTATTATATGTACTGGTATTTGGTCTTTGTCAGAAGATCCCATTTCAGAATCTCTGATTTTTACATATGAAATATTCTATAGCTCATGCTTTTCTGGACAACCCATACTTTCCATACATTTGTCAAAAAATTGATTACATAGCTTTCTTAAATATATAAGTAATTGCTTCTTTGAAGAATTTATAAATGAAGAATGAGATGGAGTTATGTAAATTTTGTTCTTAAAATGAATTTCTAGAACATATATATTTCAAGGAAAATACTTGTAAACTTTATTACCACTTGCCACTTCCCTCCTTTAGTTTAAGGAGAGAATAGAGAGAAATTTGGAAGAAATAAATCGTTCTCTTAAGATACACAGTTCATTTCCTGGAAACCTACTGCGAGGGGAATTATTTTTGAGGAGCTTGCAGGCTTTAAGGCAACTCTAGTTGTGGCACTGTCACTCTGCTTGCTGCATGAATTGTGTAGGAGAACCAAGTGCTTGTCTGTTCTCCAGCTTTCTGCTGAGGTTTTGTGGCCTAAAGTGTATGGCTCTATTTGGGCTTGTGGTTCAGAAGAACTTAGCATGTTGTTTTGCCCCTTCTACTACAGAATGAGCTATTAGATGCACTGAATGAATAAATAGTACCTAAATAAGAGACTTTGTGCTTCATAAAGTTACCTATGTTGATAGTGTGTACTATTGGCACATGTGTATTTAAAAAAAAAACTTATATGCTAAGTCTTAAAATTTTTTACTTAGGTTACCTTAACATTCAAATTAATGCTTTACTATTTTATTTCTTAAAGTGTACCAATAGTCCTATACCTGCGGGTTCCAAAAAAACAGAGAAATGTTCTGCGGCTGCAGAAATGGCTGACTTTGAAGCCCGGAGTAAACGGGCATGGACAGATGTATTTCTTCAGATATATAAGGTAATATTTATACTATTGTTTGCTCCCAGTTAGATCATCTGGGAGTTGTGTTTCTCCATGTGTTCTATCTAAAGCACCAGGCACGGTTTTAAATCAGAAGTGGACTGGCAGTTTCACTTGAAAAAGTAAACAATGTTGAGATGTGCTAAGATGCATTTCACTGGTTAGAAATGAAAAGTTATGGGCAGTGCCTGTGGCTCAAAGGAGTAGGGCGCTGGCCCCATATGCTGGAGGTGGCAGATTCAAACCCAGCCCTGGCCAAAAACTGCAAAAAAAAAAAAAAAAAAAAAATATATATATATATGTATATATGTATATATATATATATAAAATATATGTGTGTGTGTATGATGTGTATATATATATATACTAAAAAAAGTAGAGAATTGAAATATATATGTGTATATATATATGATGTATATATGTGTGTATATATATATGATGTATATATATATTAACTAAAAAATAGTAGAGAATTGAAACAGAATATAATGAAGCCAATAACAAATGTGGTTTCAAGCAGGTTCCACTGTGGGCAGCTGGAGCTCTGTCCCTCTGAGGATCTATGGGAGACATTGTAGAGCACATCTCATTTATTCCAACTGAGTGTTAAGTGATCTGGAGTATTTACCAATTCTCTTATTATCTTTGTTAGATTTTTTTGTTTTGAGTCATTATCCTCTGCCACTCCTAACTTCCCTTCGGTAAGCTAAGTGTGCTTTTGTGTGTCAGAAAAAAGATCCCTCCATCAAAGACTTGCAGGTTTTCACAAAAGCGCCCTTCAGAATGTGGAGGTGAATGCTGAGGGAATATGGATAGTGTATCAAGAGTATCTCTATAGCATATGTCACTCAAATTGTTTTCCTCTTACTTTTGTGCCATTAGAGAACTGTATATTAAAGGTTTTAGATGAACCAAGGAGCTGAACTTGTACTGTGTACTGTAATCTAAACTAATACTTGACTCCTTCATTAAGAAAGTCCTGACATCTGTATAGTGAGGTAGCAGATCACAAGCTATTCATCTCATCTAGATCCTGGAACCAACTGCTAATAGATTGTTACTTTTAGTAGCTCTGTACTATAGTGCTTTACTGATCAGATGCAGAGTTCTCTACTGAATTTGAACATTGCTTAGTTATTGTTAAAATATGGAGGTATTGCTTCATAATAAAACATTTGGCAAATATAATGTAAATATGCCACCACACTTCACTATATAGGATAAAAAATATGACAAATTGCAAATTCCTGTAAACTCACTGTGTCGCCCTGTGTAGAATGCCATGGTGTCATCGAGGCTTACGGCAACTTCAAACTCTTGGGCTCAAGTGCCATCCTCTTGCCTCAACCTTCTAAGTAGCTGGGACTACAGGCACCCGCTACAATGCCCAGCTCACTTTTGTCATCTTAAAAATAGACCTCTTCAGTTAGTATCAATGCCAAAATAAGTATTGACTTGAAAATGTTACTTAGACTCTGAAAATTTTATTTTTCTAAGTTGCATGAGCCAGCATAGAAATAAAAACGGCATTTCACACCTTTGAGTTATAAATGAATTGACAGTCTAATAGAACTGTACTTAAATGCAGTTTTTTTTAATTGGGTAATAAGACTCATATAAATTATATATTGTGGTGTCTTATAGAATAAATGCTATACAAGCAAAAGTTAAGAATTTAAAATGAGCATTAGTGAAATACATTTGATCTGTTCTTTCAGTCTTGAGTGGATACATAAAATACTGGTGGCTTCTTCTACTTATATACTTGTTATTTTTCCATTTACTCTTAAATATTAATTTGTTATTTTTTCCATTTGAGTCTAATTCAGATTATCTCACTCTCTTTCTCAATTTCAGGTTATGGTTCTATCCCGAGTTGTACCATATGGCAACAGCAATATGCCTCCAAGATCTGGGCTAACTACACCAAAAATCAATCCTTGTTTCATATCCAGCAATATCTATTCACATTCGGAAAGAATTCTACTTAGTTGGCTAAATACAAATTATGAGAATACTCGTCACATTATATGGAAAGATTGTCACAGAGGTGAGAAGTTACTTGTTTCTTTAAATAAATTATTGCCAATTGTAGTGGGATGATAGAAAAGCCATGGATCCACACTCAGAATCAATGGATTCTAGTCCTAAATCCAACATTACTCTCTGTTTTACAAAAAGGAGGCCTGCTTAACATTGTCAAGAAAAGATTCTTCACATGTAAATGCTTCTTTCACTTATTTTGAAAAATAAATGATAAAAAATGTATGAGGTTGGACAATTTGAGGTTCGCAAACTCATCCTAGAAAAAGTGCTTTGAAGGGTATACTCAGTGCTGGTGTCAGTGCATAGCCTCCCAAGGGGAGTACTTTGAAGGTGACCATAGTGATATTCACCAATGAGGTACATAACACTTTGCCTAGGATGAGTTCACAAACTTAATTGTCCAACCTTGTATGTAGAGATGCTCTAGAAATAAAAGATAGTACTAATCATGGCTGACATTTTCAACTGTATTAAGAATCAGATACAGGTGACACTGCTTAAATCTTGTAAATAATTATTTGAGATCAAGTGAAATTTCACTAGAAAAACAGATTACGTATTATATGAGGCTAATGTTGGAAATCACTAAGTGTAGTGTTTCCTTAGTTTTTTTGAGGGGTTAAGTCACATTAGCTTCATATACTGAGACATGTAGATATTCACAGATAGACAAGCCTCAGGGTTCAGGTGTGTACTCCGTTGTTCTACTTTTGCAGGATAAAGCTTTATAAATTCCTAGCCTAAGAATATTAAGTTATTTTTGAAAAGTTTCTGTGGCTAATATAGCTGTGCATTTTTCTTCATTATAAGTATTGATTATAATAAGGACAATGTACATAGTTATTTTTTCTTTAGCTGCAATTAAGCTCCTCTCTTTCAACTACATACAAACTGTTGTGTTCACAGTAGACTGTGTTTGACAACATAAAATAAATTATTTTTTATACTCAACCCTCATTATTTAATCCAGATTTTAGAAGTAAGAAGTAAGCAGTTTAAAATGAGACTTTGAATTACACTTGCTGTTAATTTGCAGGTATTACATTATGAAACACTTTAGAAAACAAAGTTAAAAGATGTATATTGATATATTGGTATTTGAGAACAGTAGAGATAAAATGTTTTATTACCTTTCATATGATATGCTGAACTTCTCAAGATTTGTATCTTATAAAACTGTATTTTCCCCAATAAAATATATAATAAATTAAGTGAAAATAAGTAGCACTAAGGAGGGTTACAAAAAACAGACATAAAACATGCTGTTTTGGTTACTGTAGCTTTGCAATACAGCTTGAAGTCTGATAAAGTGATACCTCCCACCTTGTTCTCATAATGTAAAGTTGCCTTGGCTATTTGAGATCTTTTCTGGTTCCATATGAGGTATAGACCTATTTTTTCTAGATCTGCCAAGAATAACATTGGTGTTTTAATGGGATTGTATTGAATCTGTAAATTACTTTAGAAATGTTGACTCTGCTGAACCACGAGCATGATAAATTTTTCCATCTGTTTGTATCCTCTGCAATTTCTTTCCTCAGTGTTTTATAATTCTCCCTACAGAGGTCTTTCATCTCCTTTGTTAAGTATATTCTTAGGCATTTTATTTTCTTTGTTGCTACTGATGAAGGGAATTACGTCTTTTATTCGATACTCAGCTTGTCTGTTGTTGGCATATAAGAAAGCTACTGATTTGTGTACATTGATTTCATAGCCTGAGACTTTACTGAATTTATTTATCAATTCCAGGAGTCTGTTGGTTGAATCTTTGTGGTTTACTAGATATAAGATCATGTCTTCAGCAAAGAGCAATATTTTTATTGTACTTTAATATGTGCTAATTTAAGAATCTCTTCCCCTTCTCCACTACTATTTGTAAAATTGGTTGCTTTATTCATGTGCAAGATTTCCATGATTGACATTGTTCTAATAGAAATTTGAAAAAAATAATACAGAGAAAAATTTATAGAAAACAGATTATAAAGAAAAATATCCATAAAAATTATAATATTCACAATTGCATTGAACACAACAGGGAACTCAGAACAAGGAAAGTATATAACAAAATTATTTATGAGGAATATGGCATTTCAAAATCCATAATAAATACTAGTTCATTCAGAAAATAGTGGTAGGTCAATTAGCTAACCCTTTGGAGTTTAGGTAAAGTTATCTCTCTACTACATACCGCATACCAAAAATGAATTCTAAACACAGGAAAACTATTAAATATAAAAACTAAGACCCTAAAATAACTTGGAAAAAAAGAGTGAATGTATCTGATTTTTGTATAATTTATTTTAAATAATTATAACAAGGACAGAGCCACTAAAAATGCCATTTATTTAACGAATATCTATGAATCCCCAATTTGTATTCTTAGTACTGTTCTAGGGATTAGAGATGTAGCAGTGAACAAAAGATCCAAAATCCCTTCTTTATGTCAGCATAATTCTAATAAAAGGAAGGAAGTCAGCTGTGTGGGTGTTGGAAATTAGTCTGGTCTCTTGACTGACAAGTGGGAATTATTATCACTGAAAACATCGTCACAAGTTGACTAAATTAAAATTTCATTACCTTTATGGTTGGAACTTTTAGTTACTTATTGAACAAAAAATTAAAAACTAAAATAAAATATATTATTTAAGTATATACATACATTCATAGACATATAATTTAGCATTTTAAAAATATAGAACAATCACTTAAGTAAATACACATCCACTCACTAACTGTTTTATCAATGTTGCTGTGCCTAACTCCAGTGATTTACAATTTAGTTCTCTTCTGTCCTCATCCCATCCTCAGGAAAAACCATTACCCTTTCTAATGGTCAGGATAGTAGCAGTATTTGTGATATGATTGTAAATAGGATATTAAGGAATGATTACATTACACCAGGAAGTAAATAACTTTTTTCTCTGGAATCACAGAGAAACTTTTTATAAAAGCAAATGTTTTGTTTAACACAGCAATAGTTTCCATTATTTAAATCATCCTATACTCAGTATAGGCCAGTATTTCAGTTATTCATTTATCCGGTTGTTTTCACATTTTGTTCCAATCTCCCCATAGTAATCATGTCTGTAATTGAGAATTCCTTTTATTACCCCTCCATCTTGTATTGTCTTTTACAGGTCAGCTTTTGTTTCTTTAACCCATAATTTTTCCCTTCTACATACTTAACCTTCATGTGGAGTAATTTCTGCAACAAACAGAAACTGGTACAAATACTCTAGAGTTACAAGTAATTGCATGCCTGTTGGGCCTCCTTACCCATGTTGATGATCATTGATCAAACATTTGAACCTCTATCTAGGCACTCAATGAAATGGCTAACTTTGAACTATTGGATTTCTCTTCTATTGCTATATGTATTGTAGCATATTTTTCATTGATAAAGAAATAATAGCAAAAGGTTGAAGTTGCTTATAAAGCCTTAGGATAACTTTAATAGTATCAAACCTCTTAAGTTCAAAATTTGTTTTTATTGTCAAAACAGTATGCTTTTTGTTTTTCTAGTAAAGGCAAAGTTTTCTTTGACTAATGCTCAAATTTCCACTAAGATATCTTTGAACAAAGTAAAACTATTGTTAAATTTACTCTCCCTTTTTTTTGAAACAGACATTATACCATCTGAAAAATGGATAGTAAATTTTGACACAGACCTTTCAGATGGGCTTGTTTTGGCAACACAGCTGGGAGCCTACTGCCCATTTTTGGTAAGAATTGTTTTTATGCACAACAGTCTTCTGTTATTTGAAAGGACTTGATTAAAATTTGAAGTGTCATTTCTGTAAACTTATTCCTTTAAATGTCTTAATTTTGAGTCAAACACCTGTTATTCTTGCATTTTGATAGCAATAATCTATTACTAACATATGTTAATATTTAAATCATTCTTAGCTGAACTACAAAGAACACTTTTTAAAAGCAGAAGTTTTTGTTCCATTACTAAAAGGTTTTGTTACTGTCTTTTCCAGATTGAGACTCATTTTATAAATATGTACACAAGACCACACTGTCCAGAACAGTATCTACATAATGGCCTTGTTGTTTTAAATGCTTTTCGTGAAATTGGCTTTGACATGAACATAGAGGTGGGTTCCTTTATATGACATGTTCTAAAGACATTTTGTAAGTTTCAATAGACTAACTAACAATAGTTAGTTTATTATTAATATTGATTTGTTCCTAATTTTTCAACTGAATTGAAACAGACTTTTCATAAGTTACTATTCAAATATGGAAATTGAAATATGACTCCAGAGAAATCTACTAGATATTTTAAAATGTATGTAATTATTTATATTCAGCTGTGGATACTAAGAAAGTACTTCTTGTCCAGTTATCTGAAATCACAAGAATAAAGCTTGAGTGTGTTATTATCATTACCCAAGGTCTAAGAATGAACTAAAAGGGCAGAGTTATTCGAAGAAAGAGGTTGTATTATAATCTTATAATTTAGTAGTGAAAAATACAATTTTAATTTTGGTTTTAAAATAAATATTTATGTAGAAGTCACAATGACAATGTACATTTTAATTATATGTTGACCTCCAAATTATAATTCAATTCAACTTGTCACATGAAATCTTCAATAACAATAATCAAAAATTACTCATACTTTATGAGCTCTTTGTTACTTTAAGATAATAATGTGGTACAATAAATGATTTCTGACTTTGAAGAATATATAAATTCATGATTTATCAAGATATCTATCTGCCTGTTAAAAGATAAATAATGTTCTCATTTAATTTAGTGTCACTGGGAATGTATAAAAAAACATAAAATGTAGAATCCATCATGTGGTCATGGGAATAAAGGCTTTTTATTCTTGCACCAATAGTCAGGATGAACCAAAAGGAGAAGTGAACGGGAAAAGAGACCCAGACCAATCAGAATGCAATTTCAATTAGGCAAGGAGGACAGTAATTACTTTCTCTACTTATCATTTCAATGAGGACTAAAAATAATAAGCTTATCTAGGGAAGTCATATGGTTTGCTAGAGCTGGTGACCGGCTGTAAAAGAAGGGCCCAGGAAGAGAACTGACCAACTCTGAGTTTTCTATTCTATGATCTAGAAAGATGGATGATGCTCATGCCCAAATGCAGGTTGATATAAAGTTGTATTTTATACCTGCTAGAAAAATGAGTTTCATAATTGCTTACTTTTTTCCTTGTATTAAAGTCACTTGCATGTTAAAGTCACTTTGTACCCAGCCTGACATTCCAATTTTTTTTTTTTTGAGACAGAGTCTCACTTTGTTGCCTTTGATAGAGAGCTGTGGTGTCACAGCTCACAGCAACCTCAAACTCTTGGGCTCAAGTAATTCTTTCGCCTCAGCCTCCCCAGTAGCTGGGACTACAGGCGCCCGCCACAACTCTTATTTTTTTACTGCTAGAATTATAAAGACAAATTGCAATAAAAAAATTTGGTCAGAGAGATCTCTTATTATAGCAGAGTTCTGAGGACAAATTCTATTAAAATACTTTGGTTTTGAAGAATTAACATTGTGAATTGAACAACTTTTTTTTACCTCCTCCATGAAAGACACTGAGTAAACCATTTGGGGGTACAGATAAGCTTAAACTAAACCCATACCTTTAAAGATGCTACAGACTACTAATTCTAAATTACATGAAAAAAGTATGATACACAGAATACAGCAAATGCCACACCAGACATAGAAACAGTGTCCTATAAGAGTCACCAAAGGAACAAGAAGTCACCCTACTAAGAATACCAGGAAAAGTTGCATAGGACACTGGGTGCTTAAGCTGGCCCCTAAGAGCTTGGTAGGAGTTGACAAGAAATTTAAAATATCTTTGTTTAGAAAAAATAATTCATCATAAATTGTGACCTCTCCTTTGCTTTTTGATTTCCTCGTATATGTTAATTCAAGATACTTATTTTATAATGCAGTCAAAAATACTTTAAAAAACAAGTATCTACTAGGTAAAAATGTAAAAAAAGTCCAATATTTGATAAGTGAAGAAATTGACAGTTAACTTAGCAGGTAATTATCAATCATTTATCAGCTAGTTTTAATGTCCTATTTATCAGCTCAGATTTACCAACCACATTAAATGGCAAGTTTAAAAAATATCGCCCTCAAATTAACTTATCCATAGTGAATTAATTCTGATACTTTTATTGGCTCATGTTTGAATCAGGTAAAGTTCAGCACTGGACTTATTAATGCTTAAATTTCTTCCCTATTATGTCCTTTATTGTAACTGGATAAGTTACTATGCCAGTGTTTTATCCTTTAGATTCCTGACAGCAGGAAGTTACAGTTATTATACATTCTCTTTTTCACCACATGATTTATATTTAAATGAAAAATTGTGTGGGAATTGTTTGGCTTCAACATAGAATGTATGTTTTATTCCATCATGCCAAGAAGGATATAAAAATAAACATTTATGGAGGTTGTACTATACCAGCGGTTCTCAACCTGTGGGTCGTGGCCCCTTTTTAACAATGAAAATACATTGCAGCATTAGAAAGGTTGAGAACCACTATACTACACATAAGTCAATGAGTGGTGATGAGGGCTAAGAATGAATAGATAATCTCACTTTACCCTTAAAACTTTCATTTCCTTTTTGGTTTTGGCTTTGTATTATTCAGGGTTCCCCAGAGAGACAGAGCCAATAGGATAATGAGAGGGCTTTTATTAGGGGGAATTGGCTCACGTGACCAGAGAGGTAGAAAAGCTCCACAATAGGCTTCTGGAGCAGCAGAAAAGCTGGCTTAGTCTGGAAGCCTCAGAACCAAGGAAGCTGATTGTGCAGCCCCCAGTCCTAGGCCAAAAGCTCCAGAGTCCCTGGGAGACCCCTGGTGCGACTCCTACTATCTAAAATCAGAAGACCCTAAAATCTGATGTCTAAGAGCAGGAGAAGAAAGGCTTGTCAGTCTAGAAGAGAGAAAGCAGAGAGAGAGAATCCCCTTTCTTTGGCCTGTTTGACGTAGCCAGTCTCCCACCAGATTAGGTGGTGCCCGCCTACGCTTAGGGCATCTCTTGCACTCTCAGTCCACTGACTCGTGTTTAAGTATCCCTCAATCCAGTCAAGGAGACACCTAAAATTAACCCTAAAATCAGGTAGGATACCTTCGTCTTTAAATATCAGAATATCAGAATTTATGAGTGAAAGTGGTTTAAAATACATTCAATGTTTTATGTAGCGATAGAACATTATAAGGATAGTTATTCAGTTTTTCAAGCAAGTTATCCAAGATTCATTTTTGCTCACACAACCTCAACCTGCTGGAATCATTTTAGGTATGTACACTAATAAATCCCAAACTTCTGCTCACATTCTCACATAACGCTTTCCTGCAGCTACGTAGTATATCTGGAGCTTTCTAGGTGGCACCTCCTTCTGTGCTTTTCTTTTTCTAGAAGACAAAACTTTCTCAATGACCCCACAGCATATTTCTCATTGCATATTATTAACTAGGATTGTAGCCCATGTAAACTAGTCATTGATAAAAGATATGGAACACCCACAAAATAGGGCATTCTTAGTAAAGATGAAAGGAGAAACATCTGTCAGAAGGCCCTCAACAGTGGTCTTTGTAGGATTACAGTATGTTAGTAGATACTGCTAGTTACTGCTGAAGTCTTGTTTGAAATCTGGTGATATCTTGAAGTCATGGCATATCCAATCCACATAGAGTTTAGGATCATATTGCCCCTTTTAGTTGCAATAATGATGAAAATGAGGGCCAGGAAATCCAACTGATTTAGTTAAGAGCATGGCACTGTGTAGTAGTAGAGCTTGAATTTATCTATTATGTTGTATTATTTTTTTATTTCAGAGTAATGCAAATGTACTATGATTAGGTTACATTGTTTACATTTGTAAAGTTAAGTCCGAGTTGCAGTTGAGTCCTTCCCCTAGGAGGTGTGCCGTATACCCCTACATTGCACTGGTAAGGTGGCAGCTGATTAAACTCCTCCCCCTTCCTTACCCCACCTTCAATTGCAAGGCTAGAATTTAATTTACAGATTTCCAGCATTTCTTCTATTATGATTTTTTGTTTGTTTATTTCCCTGTCTTTTGTTAACCCAATAGGAAAACACTACCTTCAGGAGGGGGAAAAAGGATCAATGCAACTGAAGTTCTTTCAAGTTAGATCTATATAGAGAAAATAACAATTATGCCTTTAAAAGGAATTTCACATAGAAATTTTGTTTTAAAGAAACCTAATTTATTTTGACATTTGGCTTTCTAAGCCTAGGATTAAATAAAGTGTACTTGCTTTACGTTTTTATTGAAATGAATCATAAAGAAAGGTAAGAACACTTTCTTAGTTGGTTTTTCAGTATCATATTTTATTAAGTATATTACTCCCTTAAGGTAAAGGTATTTTTAATTTACCAAATTATTGAATTTTCCACATCCTATTATATATTTAGGTGCATAAGAAAAGGTAAATTTTAAGAGGTGAATTTTAAAAATAATTTCTGTGTTACTACTTTTATTGTGGTAGATACTAAAACAGGATTCAAAAGACTCTGATCCCAGACTTGAGGCCAGAGTGTTCTGCTGCTGGTCCTCCCCTTTTCCCAGCAAGCATACCTCCCCTCACCCTAGATACCCCTCTTCTAATTACACCACAGGCTTGTAAACTACACAAGACCCAAGACAGCTATATTCTTCATTTTGAAATTTACTTTTCTAGGCTTTAAAAGTGAAAGTAACAAACTCTGTACTATGCTTTTTATTTCCCTTGTCTTAAATAATTTTCCTATATCTGTTGATTATAGTATTGCCTTTTTGGAAGAATGAGACCACCAAATACTAATGAGAAATTGTGTGGTCTAGGTATATTTGCAAGTTTTCCTCCAATCACACTCACAGGCAGCTTTCTACCCTGGTAAGGTAGGCTCTCACTGTGTTCATTTCCAGGCCAGGCTCAGATCATTTTCTGTGGCTAACTTGAGTATATGCCATTAAGTCATAGAAAATCTTCACTTCCACTTCATGGAAGTGTAGAGAACTCCCTGTATATTGACAATGACAGAGTTGCTTGTTTATTGATGGTGGTTTTTTAATGTTTTAATCCCTTCCTCATACCAATTC